TCAGCTCCTGGGATCTTGGCCACCCAGTTTCCTGGATTGAGCCAGGATCATTGGGAGTGGAGGAGACCAGCTCAAGACATGCCAAGGTGGTCCAGTGCAACAGGAAGCCATGAAGTTTCCTGTCTGGGCCAAATGAGGATCCCAAACTAGCTGGGCTTGCAGGAAGGTGTGGGGGGTACTCATCCCAGGCCGCCCAGCATCTCCAACCGATGGCAACTGCTTGCTTAGAACTCTAGTGTTGATGTGTGTGCAGAGGAGGAGCTGGGCAGATCTGAGGTGCCCTCACCGGCCTCTCTGCATGTCTGGAGGACTCTGGATATCTCCGCCCAGACTGCTGGAGTTCCCCCAGGCTTCCAGGTGCAGTGAAGGGGAGAGGTGGGTTTGAGGCTTCCACATCATCCTCCCCATTCCGGTTACACTTGGAGAACTGCTGAGCTCCCGACGGGTGGGCTGGCCCACACTATCAGCCTAGCGCAGCCTGTTTAGCTGCCGCACCTGGCCATCGGTGTGCAGAGGAGGAGCTGGGCAGATCTGGGGTGCCCTCACCGGACTCTCTGTGTGTCTAGAGGACTCTGGATATCTCCGCCCAGACTGCTGGAGTCCCCCTAGGCTTCCAGGCGCAGTGAAGGGGAGAGGTGGGTTTGAGGCTTCCACATCAGCCTCCCCATTCCAGTTACACTTGGAGAACTGCTGAGCTCCCGACGGGTGGGCTGGCCCACACTATCAGCTGAGCCGAGCCTGTTTAGCTGCCACGCCTGGCCATCAGTGTGCAGAGGAGGAGCTGGGCAGATCTGGGGTGCCCTCACCGGCCTCTCTGCATGTCTGGAGGACTCTGGATACCTCCGCCCAGACTGCTGGAGGCCCCCCAGGCTTCCAGGTGCAGTGAAAGGGAGAGGTGGGTTTGAGGCTTCCACATCAGCCTCCCCATTCCAGTTACACTTGGAGAACTGCTGAGCTCCTGACGGGTGGGCCAGCCCACACTATTAGCCAAGCCCAGCCTGTTTTGCGGCTACGCCTAGCCATCGGTGTACAGAGGAGGAGCTGGGCGGATCTGGGGTGCCTACATCGGCCTTTCCGTGTGTCAGGAGGACAGTGGATATCTCTGCAAGCAGGGAGGGTCCACAGGTTCCTGAGGCACCGCGGCCTGTGGTGAGTACCCTAACCCGGCTACGATTGAAGAACTGTGGAGCTTCCAAGGGGCAGGTGGGCGCACAGTGTCCCTGAGGCCCTGCTTGTCTGGAACTGCGGAGTTCTGAGCAGGCAGAGGAGGGCCACTGGTTCTGTGGCCCAATGGCTTGGGGTAGCATGGTGCCAGAGTCTCAGTAGCTCCAAACATAGAAGGGGATTTTCAACAGATCCTGAGGAAGCTTTCAAATAACACTTGAAACACAGAAATATAGGAAAATGACAAAACGAAAGACCAAATTACAACCTCAAACATCCAGTCCATCTCAAAAAACCCTAGGAGCAATGTATATAGAAGAAAATATATCCCATCCACCTCATATATCGGACACAATAGCTACTGAAATTGACAAGCAACTCCAGGAAGCTTTAAAGAAATTCAAACTCGAAATAATCTCCCAGATAAAAGAAGAAATGATAAAAGAAATGAAAAAGATTCTAAATATATCTAAAGAAAACACAGATAAAAAATTGGAGGAATTAAACAAAAAGATAGAATCCCTAGACAAGCAATATAAGAAACAAACAGAATACATAATGCAGATGCACAGAGATATACAGGAAATAAAAAACTCTACTGAAAGTTGTAAAAACTGCCTTACTGAAAGTGAAGATAGAATTTCAGATGTTGAAGACAGGATTGCAGCTAGTGAACAGGAAAGGAAAGATCTTTTAAAAATAACAAGGAATCAGGAAACAACAATTCAACAACTGCAAGACAATGCAAAGAAGAATAACATAAGAATAATAGGGATTAATGAAAGAGAGGGAGACAACATGAAGGATGTCAGGAGGATATTTAGAGAAGTAATAGCTGAAAAATTCCCAAGCATCAGATCAGAAACTGACATCAGTATCAGTGAAGCATATAGAACTCCAAACAGTCACAACCAAAATAAAATTACACCCAGACATATAATAATCACCATCCCAGAAATCCAACACAGGAATAGATTATTAAAAGGTGTCAGAGAGAAAAGACAGATCACTTATAAAGGAAAACCTATGAGAATCACAGCAGACTTCTCAGCACAAACGATAAAGTCAAGAAGAGCATGGAGTGAAGTATTCCAGATCCTAAAGCAACATGATTTCCAACAAAGACTGATATATCCTGCAAAACTATCATTCAAAATAGATGGTACAATTCGATACTTCAATGACAAAGAACAGCTGAAGAACTTCATGACACCAAACCAACCCTGCAAAAAATATTGAAAGACAGTTTAGATACACAAAGGAAAAAACCACTAAGCAAAGCAAATAATTAAACAGAACAGAAAGATAAAGATGCAACAGCAGGGAGATAACATTCCTACAGTTATCCAGCATTTAACAGTAATAACTATTAATGTAAATGGTCTCAATGCACCATCAAAAGAAACAGAACAGCAGAATGGATCAAGAAACAAAATCCAACCATATGCTGTTTACAGGAAACCCATCTAACCCAGAAGGATACTCACAGACTGAAAGTCAAAGGATGGAAAACAATTATTCATGCAGCAGGAATCCAAAAAAAGGCAGGAGTAGCCATTCTGTTTGCAGACAACGTGAACTTTAAACCAACAATGACCATAAAGGACAAAGAAGGTCACTACATACTCGTAAGGGGAAAACTCCAAGAGGAAGAGATAACTATCTTAAATATATACGCACCAAACTCCAGAGCACCCAGTTATATAAAACAATTATTAACAGAAATAAAAACTCAAATTATCAGTAACACAATTGTAACAGGAGACCTTAATACACCACTGACACCAAGGGACAAATCAACTAGACAGAAAATGAGCAAAGAAATAACAGAACTGAATCACACCTGTGAACAAATGGGTTTGATAGACATATACAGAATGTTCCACCCAGCAACATCAGAATACACATTCTTCTCAGCAGTACATGGATCATTTTCTAAAATAGACCATATATTAGCTCACAGAACATATTTAAGCAAATGCAAAAGAGTTGAAATCATGCCTTGCATATTATCGGATCATAGCGCTCTGAAATTAGAAATTAATGATAAAAGATACTGCAAAAATTCCGCAAACACATGGAAACTGAATAACACACTCTTGAGTAATCAGTGGGTCACAGAAGAAATTAAAGAAGAAATTGAACAATACCTAAAAGAAAATGAGAATGCAGATACAACTTACCAGAACCTGTGGGATGCAATGAAAGCCGTTCTGAGAGGAAAATGTATTGCACTGAGTTCCCACATCAGGAAAACAGAACGAATACAAATAAATAACTTGATACTACACCTCAAACAGCTAGAAAAAGAAGAGCAAGTCAAGCCCAAAGCCAAAAGAAGAGAGGAAATTATAAAAATCAGAGCAGAAATCAATCAATAGAGACTAAGAAAACAATCCAAAGAATCAACGAATCAAAGAGTTGGTTCTTTGAAAGAATAAATAAAATCAATAAGCCCCTAGGCAACCTTATTAAAAAAAGGGAAGAAAAAGCTCAAATTCATGCAATAAGAAATGAAAAAGGAGAAATCACTACAGACCCAATAGAAATACAGAGGATCATCAACACCTATTTCGAAAACCTCTACTCTCAAAAGTTTGATAACACAGAAGAAATAGACAGATTCTTAGAAGCATATGAAGTACCAAAGCTAGATCAAGAGGATGCAAAACTGCTGAATAACCCAATCTCTGTTAATGAAATTGAAAATGTGATTAAGTCCTTACCTACCAAGAAGAGCCCAGGCCCAGATGGATTCACTGCAGAATTCTACAAGAAATTAAAGAAGACCTAATGCCGATACTCCTCAAACTATTCAATGAAATTGAAAGGGAAGCAATCTTTCCTAAGTCATTCCTGGAAGCAAATATTACTGTAGTACCAAAACCTGAGAAAGACCCAACTAAAAAAGAGAACTATAGACTGATCTCCCTAATGAACACAGATGCAAAAATCCTCAATAAAATATTGGCAAATAGGATGCAGCAAATCGTCAAGAATATTATACACCATGACCAAGTGGGATTCATCCCAGGAATGCAAGGATGGTTCAACATACGCAAATCAATAAATATAATCCACCATTTCAATAAAGCCAATAATAAGAATCACATGATCATTTCTATAGATGCAGAAAAAGCCTTCAATAAGGTCCAACATTTATTCATGATAAGAATTTTACAGAAAATTGGAATAGATTGTCTTTACCTCAATATAATAAAGACCATTTATGACAAACCAACAGCCAGCATCATACTAATTGGCCAAAAATTGAAAGCCATTACTTTAAAATCAGGCACAAGACAAGGATGTCCTTTATCACCTCTCCTATTTAATATAGTACTGGAAGTACTAGCTAGAGCAATTAGGCAAGAGAGAGAAATAAAAGGGGTAAACATAGGAAAAGAAGAAGTTAAATTATCATTGTTTGCAGATGACATGATACTCTACATAGAAGACCCTCTAAACTCCATTGAAAGACTCTTAGATACAACAAATGAATTCAGTAATTTAGCTGAATACAAAATCAATACTCAGAAATCAATAACATTCATATACATGAACAACAAAATCACATAGAGGGAAATAAGAGAAACTACACTCTTCACATTACAAGTAAAAAAACTGAAATATTTAGGAATTACTCTTACGAAAGAAGTGAAAGACCTATACAAGGAAAATTATAATACATTGAAAAACAAATTGAAGCTGATCTCAGAAAATGGAAAGACATCCCTTGCTCATGGTTACGAAGAACAAACATTGTGAAAATGGCCATTCTCCCAAGACTGTTATACAGATTCAATGAAATCCCAATAAAAATACCATCAACATACCTCATAGATCTAGAGAAATCACTCCTAAATTTCATCTGGAGCCAGAAGAGACCTAGAATAGCAAAGACAATTTTAAACAGCAAAGGCAAGGCAGGAGGCATCACAATCCCTGACTTGAGGTTATACTACAAAGCAACAGTAGTAAAATCAACATGGTATTGGAATCAAAACAGAGCTGAAGATCAATGGAATAGATTAGAAGATACAGCCACAACTACAAACACACTCAACCACCTTATCTTTGTAAAGGAGCCAAGCAGGTTCACTGGAAGAACAACAGTCTCTTTAATAAATGGTGCTAGAAAAACTGGCTCTCTATCTGCCGAAAACTAAAGCTAGACCCATGTGTATCACCATGTACTAAATTAAAATCTAAATGGGTCAAAGATCTGAATATTAAAACAGAAACACTAAATCTATTGGAAGACAAATTGGGTAGAAACCTTGGAGACATAGGAGTAGGTAGAGAATTCATGAACAGGACTCAAACTGCATGGGAAATACTTCCCAGAATCAAAAACTGGGACCACTTCTTATTAAAAAGTTTCTGCATGTCAAAAGAAGTCTCCAGCATAGTGAAAAGAAAACCCACAAACTGGGAAAAGATTTTAGTGAACTCTCTCTCAGACAAGGGACTCTTGTCTAAAACATATAAATAATTAAAAAAACTCAGACCCCCAAAATTCAAAGATCCAATCTAAAAGTGGGCATCTGAGATTAATATTACTTCTCAGATGAAGAAATACAAATGGTAAATAAATACATGAAAAAATGTTCATCATCTTTGGTCATTAGAGAAATGCAAATTAAAACCACACTGAGATACCATCTCACTCCTGAAAGAATGGCCAGGATCAAGAAAACCAACAACAACAAATGCTGGAGAGGGTGTGGGGAAAAAGGAACTCTCCTACACTGTTGGTGAGAGTGTAGACTGGTGCAGCCTTTGTGGAGGTCCGTCTGGAGATTTCTCAAAAAGCTGGGATTGGAAGTCCCATTTATTCCAGCTATTCCACTTCTAGGTATATTCCCAGAAGAACTGAAAGCATCAAACCACTGTGATATATGTGCACCTATGTTTATAGCAGCACAATATGTAATTGCCAGATCTTGGAAACAACCCAAGTGTCCATCAACTGAGGAATGGATAAAAAGGTTATAGTATTTCTATACAATGGAGTATAACTCAGCTATAAAGAAGGATCATATTGAGATATTTATCAATAAATGGGTGCAGCTCGAGAGCATACTCCTAAGTGAAATAAATCAATCTTGCATGTGTGAATACCGAATAGTTTCCCTAATGTAAGTATTGGTTCAAATATATAAAAATATGTGGTAATCATGATTCCCCATTATGTGGCCTTGATGCCTTATAAAGTTTTCACTTATTAATTGGAAAGACTTTATTCTGGGCTTCTTGATATGGAAATATTTGAAGCTATAGTATATAAAGTTTTATTCAAATATTTCAAGGAAAAAGACAGATACTATGGTAACTACTATTAAGTCGGGTTATCTGGTGGTGAAGCACTATTTTGCTGAAACAATCATGCTTTGACCTGTATTGTTATGTTGTTATGTCCTCTTTTATCTCAATCTCTCCCTTATTCATTAAAAAAATTATTGTTATTTTTTATGGTTTTTTTAATTAAGGGAAAAAATTTTAAAAATTAGCAGGATATATAATAGTAACTTTTTTTGATTTCCTATTAACTTGTTTTGAAGTCCTGCAATACTCCCACTATCTTGTTTTGACTGATTAGACTCTGTTCCATTCTGTATGACAGTATCAAGTTTGAGGGTATAGGCAACTACTTTGGAGGCAATAAGATTCACTAAGATGCCCATTGTAGTTTAACTATTGTCTCCTTTGGAAGTCCTGTAATGTTTACAATGCTTAAATTTTATCGGTCTTGTTCTCTACTGTTTTTTTCAACTTTATAATACCTAATGAGACAGACAATTCTTTTTAAGGAAACAAGAGACATTATGGTAACCATTGTTGATAACCTTGTACTCTGTTTTTACATCATGTGCTATGTCTATGCTTGGTTTTGACTGACAGCTTTGTTTTGCCATATTTGACTTTATTCTCTCCCCCCCCCCCAAAAAAGTAAAAAGAACTAAGGAGTAACAAAACCCAAAATGTGTAAATTTTGTTGTAAAAAAGAAAAGGAAAAAAAGTACTCTAAAAGATACAACAGCAAGTGTATTTTGGGGTGTTAAATAGCTGACCATATTAATGTTTTTGGTTGGATCATTGAACACAACTGTTTGCAGTCTCACTGTTTGAATGTCCACTTTGTATTCTTTGATACTGTGATTTGAGCAACTATCTCTAAGATGATAATATGTAATCTATTAACTGGTGATTTCTTACTGTTGTTATTTTTTGTTTGTTTGTTTTTGTTTGTAGTTCTGTGTTAATTGTACCCTTACACTGCTTTGTTTTTTCTTTTTTCTTTTAAATAAAATTTAAAAAAAAAAGACTGCAGTCACAGTAATTACAGAGCTCCACCTGATCACGACGTGGCTTCTACCAATGCTAACAATTCACATAAACACAGCAACTGGCAAACTGAAGACATCAACTACGGGACAGAATTGTTAATGGAAACTAAAGGCCTTGCTCAGATGTCACTGCTTCCTCCTTGGTGTCCCCTTTCTCTCCCAGGACCCACACACAGCACCTTCCCTAACCAGTGACCTCCACCCTTTCCCTGACACTCAGATGCCTAGGGTTATGGGAAGTCATTTTGCAGAATGCTTCTCAGGTTGGGTTTTCCTGTCCCTTTTGTGATGAATACATATCTTGGAAGAGACCCTATGTGCCTAAGACTATGAAAAGATTCTTAAGTATCATGGCTATAAAAACAAACATATATCTAACAGTACCATTTGAATGCCTAGCTCTCAGTTTAGCCTTATCTAAAGGAAACCTTTGGAAGAATTCTTTTCCAAGAAAAAAATCTTTTAAAACACCATCTTAAAACTGAAGCTATGAGTTCAATCACAGATGAAGCGAATGTGACACCTAAAATATCAGGGGGTTTGTATGACAATGCTAATTCCAATGGGAAGGGTCAGGCCAGGCATTAAATCTGGCCATGGTCATAGGATGCTTCTAGCTGACCCTGGCTCCTGTGTCATCTTTTTTTTTTGGTCTTTTTCAGTACCAGGGATCGAACTCATGACTGCCTGCTTGCAAGGCAGGTGCTTATGCCACTGAGGTAAATCCCCAGCCCCTCCTGTGTCATCTTTATCCTGACTGTAAGCAAAAGCTTTCTTGGAGTATCTGTCTTAAAATGCTACCATAAAATAAATTGATGGTAATGTCTGTTGCCCTAAATGCACAAAAAAGAGAAGGTGGTTTCAAAAGGCCCCACATTCCTCAAAAACAATCAAGTCCATTCATTTTTTAAAAAATGAGATATAATGAATTTTGTAGGAAAAAAAAATATCCAGCATGACCAGAATTAAGGAACACACACATTGCAAACCCTAATGCTAACACTAAGCCTGAACTCCTAACTCAAACCCTAGTCCAGGAGGAGCACACGGATGGATCTGTTGAACTCCAAGAACTGCCATCTGAGCAGCAGGGAGGAAGTCAGTGAGGGTGAAGCAGACCGACAGAAGCAGGCCCCAGGGTGCTCTTGGGGTGCAGTGGAGAAGTGGGAACAGTAGCCTAGTTTAGCACACCTTGAAAAAGAAAATGCCCACGACATGTTTCTGCAAAGCTTAACAATAGATGTGAAGCCCTAGTAAAATCACAGGGTGTTTTTAAGTGCCAACAATTTTCTCCCATATGAATGATTAGATAGCTGCATAATCTTAAAGAAACACACAGCTCTCTGCTGCATGGTCCGTTTTCCATGGGTTCATGTAAACGCACCTTTCTCATGAACCCAAGTAGTAGGCCACGCCATTTTCCCAGGATCTAGGCGGAGGGAAGTGTGGGTTCATTAAACACCATGTGCCAGAGTCCAGTTGCTGCTAAGTTAATCAGTGACCACCTTGGGATAGTAGGTTCAGGGGAGTAAGCACCCAGGGCCCTGAGTGGGTTCCATTATCCTTCTGGCAATGACAGGAGAACTCTTGAACTCTGGCCCCTGGGAAAGGGTCCCGATTTAGAAACAGTTTCTGCAGATGGACTACAAGGTCTAGCAAACAGTGACCAGGATGATGTGACTGCAAGCCAGGGGACACCTACAGCTACCAGGAAGAGGCAGCAAAGATCCATCCTGGAGGCTGCAGAGGATACAAGGTTCAAACAGTCAAAATGAATAAAATAAAACACAACCAGCACTGTGCCACGATACCAGGAGCAGCAGGCTCTGCCAACAGTGTTGTGCCCAGCCATTTGGGAGCCTAAGGCCAAAGGAAAACTCAGAAAGACAAGGGCCTGGCTTCACCTACAATACATACTTTGTTCCTTGTGGGATTTCCTGCATTCATTTTCATTTCTTAAGTATTGCATTAAAATGTTATTCTTTCAGTCAAAGGTAGATAGAAACAGCCCACACGCATGTCTACCAAATGGACAGATAAAGCATGTACAGACATACAGCAGGTCCATTCAGGGCAATTAAAAAAGAAAAAAAATTTCTCATACACACTTGAACATGAAGGAGTCCAAACACACTCAGGGACAGAAACCAGTCAGCAAGGAACAGACCCTGAAGAAGACCACTGCTCCTGTGAGTCCCCCAGTATACAAACACGCAGTGGCAGAAAGTAGACACAGAAAGAGACCTCATGAAGGTCATGGGCAGACAGAGGTGAGGCTAGTGTGATGCAGCTACAACCCAAGGGATGCCTAGAGCCATCTGGAGCCAAGGAGAGGCATGAATGTGTTCTTCCTGGGACCCCCCAGAAGGGCTTGAGCCTGCTGCCACCTTGACTGTGTTCTTCTTCTCCCCTCAAAGGGTGTCAGAAGGTGACAGAATCATTTCTGTTATTGTAAGGTCCAGACAGTGGTAGTCTGAGTGTTCTGACCACCTCTGACAATGTCCATATTTACAACTGAAGGGTATGTGTCAGAGTCTA